AAGTTCAACAGTGCTTCAGCTCCCCTTGGCTGGCAGGCCCAACGCTATTGGGATAAAGCTATGAATAAGGGCATAATTCACCTTTAGCCTTCAGAGCTCAAGAATGTTCACTGCCTTTCACTTCTTACCTAGTCCTTGTATAGAAGCCAACTGGCATGGCTGCTGAATCTTACTTGGCAGTGAGAAAAGTCCTGTTCACCACCATACCTGAAGGAGGCGGCCTGAGGAGCTCAGAAGGAACAGGAGGTGGCTGCTAGTACAGCTGCTGGCCCCCAGCATCCATCACCTGAGGCAGTTGCAGCACTCTGCCTAATGCTAGGGCCGGCCCCATTGGCCTTAGTTCTCAACAGATGAGATAAACTCTGTTGTGAGAGTGAGACAGCTGTGGGCAAGAAGTTCAAGGGAGCAAGGCAAGCCCTGTTGAAAATGGAACCTTTCTTGTTGTCTCTAAAGCTTGTATTACAGTGGTATCTCGGGTTACAGATGCCTCAGGTTACAGACGCTTCAGGTTACAGACTCAGCTAACCCAGAAATAGTACCTCGGGTTAAGAACTTTGCTTCAGGATGAGAACAGAAATTGTACGGTGGCGGTGCAGCAGCAGCGGGAGGCCCCATTAGCTAAAGTGGTACCTCAGGTTAAGAACAGTTTCAGGTTAAGAACAGACCTCCAGAACGAATTTAAGTTCTTAACAAGAGGTACCACTGTACAGGCACTTCTGCCTCCTTCAAGACAGCAGCAGACCTGGCACAAGATACTTAGGCTCGATGTGAAATCGTTGTGAGGAAGAGAGTACAGTACTGTTGCAAGTTGAGCCTTATACCTTCTTTGCATCCCCTTCTCCCAGTGCCACAGCCTGGGGAAATTTCAGGGCCACACGAATAGCAAATTTCAGAGCTGAATCAAAAGAGCTACTACATGGCCCCAGCTCTTCCTTCAAGTTCAGCAAATTTTCTCAGAGTAGAGTGTACATGGGATATGTGGGAGGGAAATGTTAAGCGATGAAATGTGGCTTTTGTTTGGAAAACAACTCCTGGCAGAAGGCCTTCATTGTTCAGCAGTGCATTTGTGTGTGTTGTGTGGAGGGGGTAACTGCATCAGGGACTACTGAGGCTTGACTAAAAACTGAGGGGAAAGCATGTAGCTTTGCAAACAATTATCCATCCTTTTAGCGATTTGATCATGGGAAGGAGCATGGGAACATTTTGTGCTAAGCCCTGTGAATGGAAGAACAATCTTCCGCATGCCTTTTTAAGGATAATTGTGCTGTTTGAATGAAATGACAAGCTTATATTTTATGAGGGGGAGAAAAACCACACCCTCATTGTGGATCAGTGTGCACATTTGTCATACTTCGAATGGCATCTTTATTTCAACTAGCATTTAGAAATCCCACTGTGGAATATTTGGATAAGCGAGGAAGTTTAGGTTAGCACCAGTTGCGCACACGTTATCCAATATCAGTGAAATTACCGTCAGCTTCCCCGGGGCGGCCATATGTCTTGATGTTAAAGAGGCACAAGATGGTGGTAAATATTGCAGGGAAACTGAATGATAGCTTGCACCTTCAAACAATGCACTTCTCAAGTGAGCAATAGATATTCTGTTCCCTTTTCCTTGCTTTGTGCTGCTTAAAAATCAAAGGATGGGGCTGAGCTCTTGCTCAGAGGCAGGATAAGTTGTCTACAAATGATTGGGCCCTCTGCCAAGTAGGGGGGATCTCGCGCTTGGTAAAGGAAAAACATTGTTCACGAAAATAGTTTTGCTTTTCGATGCCAAAGGAAATCAAATTGTAATCAAGGGCTGAGAATGGACTGAAGTCATGCAAGCTGGCTTGCCTCAGCTTTTGGCAGCATTACATGTTCCCAGGAATATTAAATATAATTTACGTTTGCAGAGGGGAGAGGCTTTATTGGCCTGGAAATTTGTTTTAAATAACACTTAAGTGAGCCACTGATAAGGCAGCTAGAGATGGAGGTACAGATTGTGTTTGCAGTCTGAAGCCAAAAAAAAAACCTCCTCTAACAGCCCGAGCCTATCCATATTTTCCCGAAAGTAAGCCCCGTTGATTTTAATGAGATGTTCTTTCAGATAAGGATGCTTAGAATCGCAGCATTACTCTGACCTTATACCAGGAACAGAAGGTTCAGACCCTGCATTTCCAAGGAGCTGTAAACAAGCTAGATTAGGAGACACAAAGGGGGGGTAGTGTGGTATGAATGAAGCAATTTCTACTGTTTTGTGTCCCAATCAACTCTCCTTTCATGGCAAAAAAATGTGCTGGCTGAAGGGCTGGTCTTATCAGTGCTAGACAACATTAGGTGACAACCTAGGTTAGCACTATTTGGCAGGGGTGGGCAGCCAGCAGACATAGGATGGCATGTCACACATCACTTTGGAGGTATTTGGTTGGGGTTGATGCAGTATAGTCACCACCAGAGCCAGAACCAGTGCTATTTTTCTAGAAAAAGAGGTGCCGGAAAACCTCCTTCGTTCTCTTAGAAAGGTGATGGAGAAGTGCTGGAACCCACCTGAGAGGTGCGGGAACTGAGTTCCTGTGAGTTCCCCCTGAAAAAGGCCTTATTGGAACCAAGAGTGGTTGAGCCAGAGCCAAACTACATCTTCCATCATCTTTGGCCATGGGCCATGCTGACTGGGGCTGATGGGAGCTCAACAGTATCTGGATCACCCCCACACTGGCTACACCCTTCTCTAGAAAGACAGATTGGAAAGCTCAGGTTTGTGTCGAAACAATACCCTGTGACCCAGAGGCGTGTGCCCTTCATCTCTGATTTGTAGGGACTTGCTGAAGTTTGCCAGGGATGAGGAAATTTGCACCTGTTTGGGAACACTTTCAATTTATTATTGCTTCCATAGTTGAGCCAAGACATTGAAAATAAGAGCCTTGGAGAGTTCTGGCATAAATTAAGTCCTAGGCATTTTCTGGTGCATCAGCAGAAGCACACATCATTGTCCACATTCACACCAAGCAATTAAAGCACTATAATACCACTTTCAACTATGATAGCTTCCCCCAAAGAATCCTGGGAGCTGTAGTTTGTTAAGGATGCCAAGAGCTGTTGGGAAGCCCTTCTGTCCCTCATAGACCTACAATTCTCAAGCGTGGTTTTGCAACCGCTCTTCACTGGGAACTCTGAGAATTGTAGCTCTAAGAGGAAAATAAGGGTCTCCCAGCAGCTCTCAGTGCACTTTACATTCTGAGCTTCCCAGAATGCTTTGGGGGAAGCCATGACTGTTTAAAGTAGTATTGTTGTGACCTGAAAACGTCACAAAAGGGTGTGGGGCAGGGGCAGAATGGGGTGTTTGCAGGGGGTTTTCCAATGGTGTTTCAAATATACATGATTTCACTTGAATTCGCGGTGCCTTAGAATGCAACCCCCCACTTAAATTGGGAATTGCCTGTACTCTGAAGTGTCAATAGTGTTTTTTAGACTGCTGCTCTCTTCTTCAGATTTTTTTTTTAAAAAAGCGTTACAGTGGTACCTCGGGTTAAGAACTTAAATCGTTCTGGAGGTCCGTTCTTAACCTGAAACTGTTCTTAACCTGAGGTACCACTTTAGCTAATGGGGCCGCCGCGCAGCCGGAGCACGATTTCTGTTCTCATCCTGAAGCAAAGTTCTTAACGTGAAGCACTATTTCTGGGTTAGCAGAGTCTGTAACCTGAAGCGTATGTAACCTGAAACATATGTAACCCGAGGTACCACTGTACAAGGGTCTGCAAAACCTGCTAAGAGGAGACAGCAGTGGGATGAGAGTATTCACGAAAGGCAAGAATGCCTCTTTAATAGTACTACCTGCAATTCTGTTGGATGTATGGGGGGTGGGGATGGAAATGTCTCCATCTGTAGAGGAAGTGAGAAAAGAAGCCAATTCCAAAATAGAGGGAAGTCTGGCAAAAAGCAAGATAAAGCTAAGAAAGAGACTGCTGGATTTGGTCTGAGACACAAATAGATAGAAGCAACAAAAACCCGCTTCTGGACTGTGAAGAGAGGCAGGGAAAGACATGGATGAACAGGGCAGTTGATTGGTATAGATAGACATGAGGGGTTGATGGAGGACCAACAATCATCAGACTAGGAATTTTTTTTAAAAAAAAGCTAAAGGACCCCTGGATTGTTAAGTCCAGTCAAACTTGACTATAGAAATAGGCTTAAGGAGGAATTATGATATGTACGTACATGTGTATTCATGGGTATGTGTGTAACCCTAACCCCACTGACTTTGTATTAATTTCCGTTGAACAAAATAGGACTTATTCCCAAGCAAAACTGCTTCAGACCAGTGTGTTACGTTCAATTTGATAAGGATCAATGTATCTGTTTTTATCCTTATAGCAGGGATGGAAAAGGAAAATTTACTAAGTTGGATTTCATCTATCTGCTTTAATATCCCCCTCTGTGTGTTAAATGTTGTTTAGATGTAGGATAATGGGTCTTATGTGAAGCAAGGCTAAAGGCAGGGGGTGGGGGAGGGGAAATACAAAAGCTCCCATTAGCAGCAAGGCTTTATATGAAGCTCACTTTAATTACAATCAATGGATCACAAGTGATGGAGCTGGGAGCAGCGAAGCCAAGTATTGAACCACGAACATATCCTGATAACTTATGTAGGAATTGTTGCCGTAATACTAAGATGATAAACAAGAGTAATTTCCACACATGGTGCAAGGAGGGCAACAGGATTTCCTGAACCCAGGGCGCTGGATATGGATTGAGCCTTCCAACCCACTCGCATAAAATTTGCATGTGTTTTGTATCATCTGCAAATTTGTGTCCTCTTTTGCAGGTCCAAAAATAAATCAGCAGCCACAAAAAGTCATAGTAATATTAATAGGGAAAACAAACATTTCATGTTAATAAACGCTTCCTAACAATAAGAAACAAAAATGAGATTTCAGGGTCATTGGGTAAAAGATTCCTGCATTGCAAGATGTGACCTTTGTGGTCCCTTCCTTTTTTTTTTTTTTTTTTTTTAACATTATAAATTGATATTTATTAAATTTTCAAAGGATAACAACAAAATTTCCAAAAAAAGTTGAAAATACAAAAATAACAAAAGTAATACAAAAATATTAAAGAAAAAGAAAAGAAAACCCAGCCGCAAAAAGAAAAAAAGAGAAACAGAAAAATAGAAAAATGTAGTTCTTTACCATCTCCATTAACTTCCTTTCTAGACTTCCTCGTCCTCCCCTCTCTTGTTTCTTAGTTTTTAATTTTCACAGCAAATCCTTTCTGTCTTTTTTTTTTTCTCCACAACAATCTATCATTACATTTCCTTATTCTATTTTCCCTCTTGTCATATAAAAACTTTAATTCAATATTCAATATTTAGCAAATTCTTACATCATTACCTTTTTACACATCATTTACCAATCCTTACTTAAGCCATGTAATTTCATTCAGCACCCTTCAGACATTTATAAACATTCCCAATATTAAGAAGTAAAAAAGAAAAAATAGTAAGTCAAATTCAGCCCAGTCAACTTCCAGCCTCCCCTCCCCAGGACCCAAGATTGTCAGTCCTTTTAACTTCAATAATCCAACTCGTTAACCTGGTTGTCTCGTATCCGAGGCTCTCAAGTCTCTTTCTTGCCCCTTTCGCCGCTCTTGTTGATGTTTCCCTTTCAATCGTGGAAACTCCAGCAGAGAAATGCTTTTAACTCTTTGCAGCAAGTCCATTCCAGACCCATTACCCAGGCCAGAGAGCAGATAATGCCAGTTCCATTTTCCACAGAGCTTGGAGACTTCAACCACTCCAATCTTCTGATGGCCCATCAGATTTGCCCCAAGTTCATTTATCAAGTTCAAAAGCTGATCTTGTCCATCCAATGGTCCCTCCATCTCTGAAGCCTCCATCACTACAGCAGGTTCATATACTTGTATAGACTTTAACTGAATTTCATTTGTTTGCTGCTGTGCTCTGGTGACTTCCATCATCAAGGTCGACTCCTGACGCATCTGGTCCAGCTGGGCACTTAATTTTGCAAAACCTTCCAGGAACACTTGTTGAAGCCTTTGTACTAGCATTGTCCTTCAAGGTCGAAAAGAATTCTTTCCCACGAGAAATAGCTCTTCTTTTTTAAGCTCTCTGCATTGCAATTTCACTCAGTTCCACTAGATGGAACAAATTTTACTTTTGCAACAATCTTACTTTTTCCAAAAACACTTTGTCCAAAATTCCCTAAGAGGCAACAGTAAAGTCAAAATGTTACCCTTCTTTTAACTATCTGTCGAGCTGGATACACTTCAAGACGTCAATTCTGACAGCCCGCTCCTGGTTCAGGGCGGTGGAAAATTACTTTATTTTAAACTCACTTCCACAGGGTTAAAAAAAACCAAAACCACCCCCTTCTTCTCCTGCAGTCAAAGGGGGGTTCAGAAATCTTAGGTGTTGAATTTTAGTTCTCTCAGAATTTAATTTTCAAGCTTTAGTATAATTTATCTTTGCTTTCTTCGCTTAACAAAAGAACGGAAGGTTGACTTCCTGTTTAGACCTTTCCGTTCCGCGTCCCAATTAAGTTCAATTTCAAGTCCAGATCCAATATTATTTAATTGTTCTCCAATCTTAAAAGTAGTTCAGCTCTTCCAAGATCAGGTACTCACGGATAGATGTTTTAAATGCCAGATTGTCCAAGAAGAAGGCAGCGCTCTCCGAAAACGGCAGTGCGGCTTTGCTGCACGGAGGAAGCAGTCGACTCACAGCACCACGCACCTCCCGCTCCGGAGCCCGTTGCCGGGCTCCTGTACAAGGGGAGAGAGCACTCTCGGTGCCCGCCGAGTCCCACGGCCACAGGCTTCTTCCGCCTGTGGTTTTTGAGGGCCCCCGCTGCGCCGTAGCGGCAGGACCCAAGCCTCCGTGCAGCGGGTTCCCTTCAGTTCGAAGGGAATTCCGCCATTTTTCGGAGGCGCCACCCCGGAAGTCCTTTGTGGTCCCTTCCAACTCTACAATTCTATTGCGTGTTTAGACCTTTTAACCTCCCCCTTAAATAAATTCAGACAAGTCTCAAATTTTGGTTTGGTTTTTGGCAGAATTTAGGCCACAACCTTATTGATTACATCAAATGAGTGGTTGCATAGGCTCTGGTTCGACTAGCTCCCTGCACCGTGGCAGGTAGCGCTGACCCAGGGCACCAGCATAGGTCAGCCTAGGGTGAACACCTGGAACAGCGGAAAGCCAGGGTCAGGCTAGTCCACCACCCAGATGACCCCCTGGACTCAGGCACGGGCACAACCTGTCTCAGGGTTGACCAAACCATTGAGTCCCTGGATTCCTTTAACGGAATACCCTTCTCATAGGGATGGCGAGAGTGTTCCCCCATTCCTATCACCTGAACCAGAGCCTATCCGCAACCTTAAAAGTTATGACAATTTGCTACGCGGCAGGCGAAACCCAAATGGCACCAGCCAATCAGCCAAGTGGGGAAAATTCCTGCTGTGCCCCTGTCCCAACGATAGACGACATATGACGGCATAGCAAGGTCAAGTGCACAAACCCTAAAAGTAGGGAGAGGTGGGCAGGTGTTCCAATGCACTGGCCCAAAGAGGAAGCTCAGGGTCACGTGCATGGGCATATATAGGTCCCTCGATCCGTTTGGCTAGCGTCCCATTGGCCTGATTAAACCCAGCATCGAGGGACCTACCAATAGGGTGTTGTGGCTATCCAATTGCACCCACCCACAACACAGGGTTTGGTTGTCAGGTCACACTGCAACACATGCCCTCTTTAAGGGAGGACCTGATTTATTATATGAAAAAGCAGCAAAAACAATACCTCCCCCGCCCACTGCTGGCAGCTGGGAAAGCCTGCCCTTCCCTTTTCAAAGAGGGGTTTCTCCCAGCCGTACCTGGATATGCTGAGGGATAATTGGCCACATGATGATGTCCTCATTGCACCTTGGACGCATTACAGCTCACAAATGCCATGCTATATACATTGCAAATTGTCCATTGCTGCAAGAAACCGTAGCGAGAGGGTTTCAAAATGACATTTTAGTTAATTGCAAACACGAACACAAGCAAAGGGAGCAGCTTTACTACAGACTCCGCATCCAGCCATTCATTGATTAATCAATTATTCCTATTAACCTGCTCCCCCCCCCCAAATCCTCAGAGCAGCACACTTCCTTTGTTATTGATGTGAGCATCTTTGAGCTTAACTTTGCTGCTGCTGGAAAAGCTACAGATATTCAATCAAACGCAGTTCCATCCCAGCCACTTCTATCCAGGCAAGTTATAAGGTCAGGTCTGATTAGCTTCAGCAGCAGAATTCTACATTGTGCCTGCGGAACATTCACTAGAATGTTCTTGTTTCATCTAAGGGTAAACTCTGACATACTGCTGAGAAAAAGAAACAAAGAAAACCAGAGATTGCACACATTACAGAGAAGATTCCTGCAGACACCATCAACAATAAGCCTTTCCCCTCTAATAAAGAAATGCACCGGCCCTGCATTTACATTACACAAAGACAATGTCATATAAAGCAATGGTGTTTAATGTTTAGTCTCCTTGTCACTTGATCCATTTAGCTCTGCCCAGGGATCCTGTGAATTTATGGAATCCCCTTGCTACCCACTTTGTTGACTTCCATTCCTGCTGTGAGATCTCCATCTGGCTCTGAAGCGCATAACTCTCTCCCCAAACTTTCACTAATTTGAAAGACTGTCCCATGGAAATCTCAGTGCTTCATTTATTACTATGACAGGGCAGATGGCAATGAGTTTTTAAGAGACTCTAACGTTAGTTGTTGAAGTGTTGTAGCATACTGATGGATTTTAGTGCCTGGTTTTTTTTTGGGGGGGGAGAGATTCTGACACAGGCAATTAAACTTGGAGCCATCAGTACTTAGTGATGCATCAGAAGTTTGATGTTTTCAGAATGATATTGTCACCAAATAGACTTCCATTAGGAGAGAAAATACAGAGTTTTAATGCAAGTTTCAGACATATGTTTGGTAAAAGTTATGAATGGATAATTTTCAAATAGCTCGAATCACTGGAGGATTTCTATACTTGTTAACTTAAACCCATTAGTGAAAATGTATGATGCAAAATCTAATATCTGCTAACTCTCAGTGAGCGGCTTCACTTCCACCATTGCCCTATAAATAACTCTAAGTGACATGTGATTTAAAATCAAGGGGTATCTCATCAGGGCGATTAAATGGAACAAGGTCACCCAAGATTTCATTTTCCAGTTAAGAACATCACAAGGCAGTCCAACATGCATATATTGTTAGAACTTATCTGTACACACTCTAAACCTTACAAATGAGCTAAAAGCTTTTTATCTAGAATAGTTCCTAAAACCCGTATGTGCAAATGTGTTGCAAACAGAATGGAATGTTACAGACATTACTCTGTTGCATATATGTAGTTTTCAGTGGGAAAAAGGCAAAGTGCTTATTACTTCTAAACCAAAATTATTATTTCTATTGAAGCCAGACCTGAGTCCCACAGTGCACTGGGTCATGGGACATCTCAGAGTTTAAAAACATAGCTGAACTATTGCTCATCACACCTGCATCTGTAAATATTTGATAATGTAAACAGAGAATAATAGGCAGATCAAACTCTGGTTTCCTATGCAGAAGACTGCTGGCATATTACCAGTGCTGTTGATTGTGATGCATGGCAATGATCAATCATTGCAATAGCCATAATTGCAGGGGGCTGGTTATGCAACCCAATGCCACAAATGCTGGTGCTATACCTGGGGTGGCTAAGCAGAACAGTTAGAACCCTGTTTGCAGGAAATTTTACCTTACCTCTTCCTCTTTTCTTCCTTCCCAGTTGGCCAGCCAGCCAGCCACCAGCCAGTCTTTCAGAAGACAATAGAAACTGAAGTTTGCTCTGCCATCACTACCATTTGCCCCAATTCCCAACCAACACTTTTAACAGCATTATAAAAAGAGGTATATTTCCTCCGCCACCGCTGCCGCCAAACAACCCCCCCCCTTTTACTGGAAAAGTCCCACTAAGTATTTACACAATTGTTGGGTACAGCCAGCATTTAGCATTCAGTCGCTCAATGACCCTGACGTTCATAGCACGATCTTGTTATATGACAATTTGATGAGGAGCCTAAGCATACAAAGCAATCCTTCTTGATGTGTGTCGTTTAAATTCAGGGCCATTAGGGAGCATAGCCTTACCCTAGGAAAAAATAATAATTCTCAGCCTGTCCATCTACTGGTACCATGCCCCTAGCAGTCTCCCATTTATCCAAGCCTCGCCTGGTGGTTGCCTCTTGATTCTTTTGCAAATCTTTCTCTTCCTCGTTGATTTATGGCCCATTGACCAGGATCTGTGGGTGGCTTGGAACATCTGGGTTGCAGCCCTTGCCTGCAAGTCCTACACTCTTTTCCTCCACAATAGAGCACAGATCAAAAACAAGAGAGCAGTATCCAGAGACAAAAAAGAAAAATCAGCAAGAGAATAATGGGACTCTTTAACATGCAAAATCATCACTCACACTCAATTGACCCTCACTACATACCGAAAGAAGAGATGGGGTTGCAGGCTTTGGGGAGGGAAAAACATTTATGCAATTTCAACCTCTTATTTCATTTGACTAATTTGGTTCAGGTAATGCTAATTTCCCAGCGGCTGTCAAGTCTATCACAGCCAGCTGTCACTTTTCCAGTCTCCCGCTTGCTAGACTCACAAATCTAAATATCCCTTACACAACAAACAGTGGTGAAATTTGGAGGAATTAGGCAGTTTAACACAGCTGACCATGTGGTCCTGAGATGCATCTATTAGCAAGCAAGTCTCACAAGATTTAATTCCATAGATCAGATCAATCCTTTATTTATTTAAAACTCGCTGTATATTGGATCCTAAGTGGTGAGGATCTCAGCCCTACAGATAGGGCAGCCTAAATAAGCCTAATTATAAAAAAATATAAAAAAATAAGAGGGCAAACAACACCACAGATTTCTATAAAGCTTGAATATGTGATTCATGTTTACTGATGTAAATGTAGAATAATTACTTCAGTGAAGTAGCCATACCGTAGTGGGGAATATTGTGACTAGCTGATAGCTCAGTTGGTTAGAGCGTGGTGCTGATAATGCCAAGGTTGCAGGTTCAATCTCTGTATGGGACTGCTGCATATTCCTGCGTTGCGGGGGTTTAAGTAGGGAAACAAGCAGCACTGTAGTCTAAACCACCGAGCCTCTTGGGCTTGCCGATCGGAAGGTTGGTGGTTCAAATCCCTGAGATGGGGTGAGCTCCTGTTGCTCAGTCCCAGCTGCTGCCAACCTAGCAGTTCAAAAGCACACCAGTGCAAGTAGATACATAGGTACCACTGTGGCAGGAAGGTAAACGGCATTTTTGTACACTTTGGCTTCCATCACGGTGTACTGTTGCTTGAGAAGTAGTTTAGTCATGCTGGCCACATGACCCGGAAAGCTGTTTGTGGGCAAACGCTGGCTCCCTAGGCCTGAAAGCGGAGATGAGTGCCACACCCCATAGTCAAATTTGACTGGACTTAACCGTCCAGGGGTACTGTACCTTTGCCTTTTTTTACTGCAGGGGGTTGGACTAGATGATCCTCAGGGTCCCTTCCAACTCTACAATCCTATGATTCTAAGACCTGCATGTTGGCTCAGTTTGCTGTCCATCCAGCTGTTGATGGGCAACTTCCAGACCCCTGCTCTCACTTCTTTTGGCTTTATGCCTTTAGATCTGCTTGGAGTGGATAACCTTTCAAACAGAGGACTCCTCCAAAAAGAGGACTTTCCTCTGAGAGACCTTCAAATATGGGACAGTCTTCTTTAAAGCTGGCATGTGGAACATAGTTAGGCTGGAAGCTTTCTAGGCAAGGAGAAGTTCTGGGAAACCGGGTTCGTGTCTCCGCTCCTCCACATGCAGCTGCTGGGTGACCTTGGGCCAGTCACACTTCTTTGAAGTCTCTCAGCCCCACTCACCTCACAGAGTGTGTGTTGTGGGGGAGGAAGGGAAAGGAGAATGTTAGTCGCTTTGAGACTCCGGAAGGGGAGTGAAAGGCGGGATATCAAATCCAAACTCTTCTTCTTCTTCTGGTACTCCTGTGCCCTTTGTATTACCCTGCATGTAGTTGGCACCCTTTCCATGTTGCACAAAGACCGAGACCTATTCTCCCACCATCTAGAATATGAATAATGTGTCTGGGTTTGAAGTATCAGAGCAGTTCCACATGTTTGTGAACCTGTGTAGAGGGAAACGTGAGTGACTCACACTTCCTGTTTTCATGCCTCTTTGTAGCATCGGAAATTGACTTATTAAGCCCGTAGCCCCCATTTTTGTTGTGCCTTTGAACTTCTGGCTGTATTTGCATGGGAGGAAAGCACTCTGTCCAAGCCTGCATAGTGTTTTCATCTGTTAGAAAGTACTTTCTCAGAAACTGCCATCTCCAAATAATCACCGAGAATCCTTTGGACACTCTAAAATAGACACAAGTTAAGGGAGGACTGTTTTAAGGCTACAGAGCATCCTGCCAGCCCCAGAGCAAGGTTTAAACTTCACCTGTTTAATTTGGGCAAGAAGGAAGCTTCATTTTATGAATAAAGTGTGGCTGCAATCTGTGCAGAGTTGTTGTTGTTGTTTGGTGTGTGTGTGTGTAATATGTGAGTGCAGAGCTCAATACCCTACTAGACAATAATCCTATGCAATGAAAGCAGTTTGTATAGAGTAAGTGAGGGGTGGGGGGAAAACAGTATTTAAAACAGCTACACAACAGAATTGCATAGAATAGTGCTGTTCTTCACACAGGGGAGAAAGAGACAGGAGAAGAGATGCAGGAGGTCTCGGATGCTGGAGAGACTGAGGTGCTTCCAGAGGCAACCATGGCTTTGGAAACCCCCGGGTCCCCTGCTCCATTGTCTCCACTCTCAAGAAAGGACTGGAAGCAACTAGAGCTGCCATTGAGGAAGAGCACACGACTTTGGGCAAGAGAGTTTAAAAAGGCAGAGCCACACTGTTGCTCCAACCGTCCATAGATAGCTAGTTAGCTGGGAGTATTGTTGCATTCACTTGCACGTTAGGAGCTGATGTAACTGAGCGCTTTGCCAATAAAGAACTAGAAATCCAGTCACTCGTCCTCTTTGTTCAGGGTGTATTTGGGACATGGGGACATGGTGCCTCCATCCTGCATGCAGACACTGTCCCCTTGGGCTTTGTACCCTTTGGCCACGTTCAGAGAGCTGAGTTTACTATTAGTTCATAGGGTTACGGTAAGGTTAGGACAGCCTTCTGGCAAGCAGAAAATGCATTCTGTTAAAAGGCATGGCGCAAACCAGAACTACCTCATTATAGAAGGCCTTGTGTAATAGTGTTTTGTTTTGGTTTTTTGGTAAACCTTTATTAATATCCCCAGTGTTTATGTTTGAATAATTAGCATCCATTTCCTGCTGTAGCTAGATAATCCTGATTTTCCTGTACCACTCTCCCCGCAACGCACATGTGCTGTTTATTTTCAGCGCTAATTGAATAATAAAATCAATGTCGATGTCCACTTCCCTATTGGCAGCTAAATAGTCACCCTTATGCTGCTTCCACTTTGAAAACAAAGCATATCTGAAGGCCATTAAGGCACTAATTCCCAACTAATTTTTGGAAAGAAAGAAATCCCTGAAGAATTTGTGATTCATTGGTGGCGGTGTGGTGCACACAGAAGGGCACAGACTCTTGAGTTCCCCTTTAGAAAGATCCTCGAGAGAGTGAAAAGTTTGTTTATCCTAACGGTGGGATAAATTAAAAGGCGCCCTTGTCTTCTGAAGGAAAGGGGCTATGCCTGAGCAAAAATTGCCCTTCCCCCTTCTTAAAAAACCAGGCCTTTTGTCACAAATATCTCTTTTAAAGAAGTGCTGCTTATCTTTTTCTGCTTTGAAGCCAGTTCAAAGGAGAGAAGAAAGATCCTATTTTAGGTCTAGTTAGCTGCTGTCCACAAGATGGTATTCTTTTAATATGAACTTCTGTCTCTTTCTGGAACGAGGCCCTTCAAAATATTAATTGAGAGGCTTTTGGACTGCATCTTCCCTTTCTTTTTAGTCACATTTAGCTAAGCACCTCATCCTGGTGTTCAAAGACGCAGATATAATTCAAATCCACCGTGTTTACATAAGCCGGGCCTTGTTTGACAGGATGCTGAGAGCTTATCATTTCTTACGAGGAGGTGCTGAGCACCTGGTGACCAGGAGTCAAAGCAAAAGTGAAGTATGTGCAAGGGGAGGAAATGTCAAGATATTTATTATCAGGGTGTGGAAAAGAGTTCAAACGCCACGTGACCTACTCTGAAGGGGTGTGTGTGACTTCTTTTAATCTCCAAGAACTCCATCTTATACCCGGCAGATAAAAGCGCTTTCTGAAATGATGGCCAAATTCATACAAATGGTTGCTTCAGTTTAATAAAATATGTGTTGTGTGGGTCTAGATTTCACTTCATAGAATAATAGAATTCTAGAGTTGGAAGGGACCCTGATCTAGCCCAGTGTTTCCCAAATTGGGCCTCCAGCTGTTTCTGGACTACAATTTCTATCATCCCTGACCACTCACCTTGCTAGTTAGGGATTATGGGAGTTGTAGTCCGAAAACAGCTAGCAACCCAAGTTTGGGAAACACTAATCTAGTCCCAACTCCCTGCAATGCAGGAATAGGCAGATATCCCATACAGGGATCGAACCTGCAATCTTGGCGTTATCAGCACCACACTCTATTCAACTGAGCCAACTTTTCTGGACCAGTTTCACTCAAGAGACCATTCCCACTGGTGGAGGGAGGCTACTTATGCTGATTCTCCTTTTATTTTGCAGCCCCTAGTGCTGCCTCTCATGTTGTTGAATCAAAGGCAAATTCTGGCTGCAGGCTGCAGCCCATTAAGTTCTCTTATGAATGGACATCATTAGCTCCCCTCCTTATCATCCCAAGGTCCACATTATGGGCGAGATCCAACGAAACAGTTCCACGAGCACTTTTGAGAGTGCAACAGAAGTTTCTTTCCCTGCCATTTCCCCCGTGGGTTTTCCCCAACCCTCAAAAGTGGATGGAGGGTGGGAGGCAGGGGGCGGAGAAAGGAGGAGTTTCATTGCACAGCCAAAAGTACTGGCACTAACAGAACTGTTGGATACAGCCCCCTGATTCTTCTTGCTTACACTTATATAGTCTTTATTTTCTTTTAACACCATAAGCAGAAAAGAACGAAAGCAGGTCTCTGCTCCAAGGAGCTCACAGACTAAAATCTGAAAGACGAGCCAGGGGGATAGGTTGGTGGTAGGAAAAGGAAAGCCAAAACTAACAGATGATGAATGTGAGCAAATGCTGTTCTGCATACTTTTCCACAGTGCTGTTCTACATACTTTTCCACAATGCTGTTCTGCATACTTTCCCACACCTTGATAATACTGTTTGCATTTTGCACACAGGAGGCAAGAAAGAGCTGCTTATGTATGACATTTCCATGCTGCTGCTGCTGCTGCAACATGCAATGCTGCTCATCACCATCTTCTGCCTGGGATGCAGAATTTCCATGTCAATGCTACTGTGTGAATGCAACTTAAGGTCCAGTTGTGAAGATATCTCTCTCTAAACAAATTAGCTAGAATGGGGGTGGGGACTGAGAGAGTTTACTGTCTCTAAGAAGTACAGCATGTCTCATTTTCCTAAGTGAGACTTCTGAATTGTTTATTGAACTTTCTCCTCAGTTGCAAGCAGGCCTATAGCTGTGACATGGGTGGTGCTGTGGTCTAAGCTACTGAGCCTCTTGAGCTTGTAAGATTGGCAGTTCCAATCCACGTGATGGGGTGAGCTCCCGTTGCTCTGTCCCATCTTCTGCCAATCTGCCAGTTCAAAAGCATATCAGTGCAAGTAGATAAATAGGTACCACTGCGGCGGGAAGGTAAATGCCATTTCCCTGTGCTCTGGCATCTGTCACGGTGTTCCATTGCATTAGAAGCGGTTTGGTCATGACCCAGAAAGCTGTCTGCAGACAAACGTCGGCTCCCTTGGCTGAAAGCGGAGATGAGTGCCGCACTCCATAATAAAATTTGACCAGACTTAACCTTCTAGGGATCCTTTACCTTTTCCATGGAAATATATCAGGGTGATGGTGTTGGTAAAGAAATAACTGCAAAATAGCCAGGACAAAAATGCATTTTAAATGACTTACAATGCAATTCCATATATGGCTACTCAGAAAAAAAGTTCAATAAGACTAACTCCCAGATAAGTGTGTACAGTGGTACCTCGGGTTAAGTACATCATTCGTTCCGGAGGTCCGTTCTTAACCTGAAACTGTTCTTAACCTGAAGCACCACTTTAGCTAATGGGGCCTCCTGCTGCCACTGCGCCACCGGAGCACGATTTCTGTTCTCATCCTGAAGCAGAGTTCTTAACCTGAGGTACTATTTCTGGGTTAGCGGAGTCTGTAACCTGAAGCATATGTAACCCGAGGTACCACTGTATAAGATTTCAGTCTCATTTGCATTGCATGCTTATATAAGTTTTTAAAAAAGAAAAGAAATTGAAAACACAAGCACAATGCCTTTTCACTCAATGGCAAACCAAACCAAACACAAAAACTGGAAGGTGGGAGCAAATTTGACTACTTAGTGGACAAGGATACTGCCCATATCCTTTTCCACAAAGCCCCACAAATGAAAATGTTAGACTTCATTTTTGAAAGGAATTTCTGGAATATCCCTGAAGACACAAGACCCATGTTGTATCCCTTACATTCTATAAAGTTATATAGAATATTTATTGTATAGAATGTTTATTGAAATGTGTGTATGAATGTTTAAGAGCAACTGAGGCCTCTGTTCTGATTCAGCCACTGGGCGGGTATCAAACTGCTAGCACTCATAAAATATGTTCAGTGCTTGGAACGTATCAGATGGTTAGATTTGGGGAAAACCAAACACTTTGCAAAAAATAAAATAAAATGGGGAGCTGTGCAAAGCTCTGATAATGAACTAGGAGAGGTGAGGTAAAGGAGAGGTAGGGAGATGGATTGCACAATATATCTGTTCAGAATCCGGACTAGCAAAGTTTGCACTTCTAGAAAGGGAACAAAACTTTCATACCAGAACAAGCCTCACCAATAGGCAAGGTGAGGCACCTTGCCCCACGTATCAGCTTTTGGGAAACCATTAAAAGGGCAGCAAATCATAAAATTATTTAGTTTAGTATTGTATTTTTACCCTTTGGGGTTTTTGTGTCAGGCTTCAAAATGTATTGAGTTCTCTTGTTTCACCCCCACTTCAGGGTAGCATGTAAAACAGCCCCAGAGAGTGGTCTGAAACCTTTAAAGTGATTGAAAACACACAGGTGAAAACAATAATAATAAAAAGGAGTCAAGTGTGCCTCCGACCATGGAGAATCATTTGCCTCGGAGCAGCTCAGTGTTCACATTTTCAGGGAAGATCTCACGTTTCCCTGGTGTGTGACTTAGTGTGGATTTTTTAAAGAAGCAGTAGTCACGAGACATCAAGCGCTCATGAAGGCAGCCTTCCCTAACTGCCTGCAGATCAGAGGGGGGAAGCTGCAGACAGGTGATTTTTTAATGTTGTGTAACAGAGGAATCCTAGAGGGATACGGGTGGTGCTGTGGTCTAAACCACTGAGCCTAGGGCTTGCCGATCAGAAAGTTGGCGGTTCAAATCCTTGTGACGGGGTGAGCTCCCGTTGTTCGGTCCCAGCTCCTGTCCACCTAGCAGTTTGAAAGCACATCAAAGTGCAAGTATATAAATAGGTACCGCTCTGGCGGAAAGGTAAACGGCATTTCCGTGTGTTGCTCTGGTTCGCCAGAAGTGGCTTAGTCATGCTGGCCACATGACCTGGAAGCTGTCTGCGGACAAATGCTGGGTCCCTCGGCCTATAGAGCAAGATGAGCGCGCAACCCCAGAGTTGTCTGCAACTGGACCTAACAGTCAGGGGTATCTTTACCTTTAACAGAGGAATCCATTGCAACAGTTGCACTAGGGGAAACTCATCGTGTAACAGATTGTGCAACAAAGTTGCTAGCAATGTGCTGATGCATTCTCTGGTGCAACAGCATTCTGCTGTCCCAAAACATTTCAGCATCAGAACAAGTATGCCAGTAAGTGACTTAGCACTACCTTGGATACAACCCCAGTAAGAGGTGGAATCAACGAGTTGTATCCAATGCGGTGGTGTAGCATGGGTTGCTGGCACCTGGGGCAGGGAAGTTGCACACGACTCCAGAGCGTCCCGCAACTTACCCACCTCCTTCCCTCCACAGCCACTCAATGTGGACCTGAGCTGCTCTGCTGCCTTTGCTAGGGTAGGGTGGGGATCTCCATGGAAGCCAACGTCTGCATGGGGGCACCTGGTTGCACCCCACACAGAATTTTGTGCCCAGGGCAATGGCTTCCCTGGCTGCCCCCACGCTATGCTTCCAATCCAATGTCAGGCATATTCAGAGTAAACTCATTGAAATCAATGGACATGACTAATAGAAGTAGAACTTAGATACAACCCAATACTCTATGCACTTAAAGCTGCCTCCCCATACCTATTGCCGTACAATGTTGCTGGAATACAAGTGCTGTCAGTCCCGGGCATTAGCTATGTATATTGGCTGGTGCTAATTGGAGTTAGAACCCGAGAATATCTAGAGGGACATATATTGGGGAAGGCAGAGCATTGTCTAGCATATGCGAGTCCTGGAAGATCTGCTCATTGCCTTGCAGGCCTTTTCCCGTGTGACCTGGAAGGGTGGGGTCGAGACTGACTCCAGCTACAAAATCTGAGGCTGATGAACAGACTCTCTTGCTAGGCTGCTACTGTAGCTGCTGCATTTTTAATCTTGTGATTTATGTGGAAATTGTTCAGTTTGGTTGTGTATGTTTTCATGTTTTATTTATGAGTACTTTTGTTATGTTGCTGTGATGTATTTTTTCCCCTGTGTTGGAAGCCACCTTGAGCATAGTTTGAACTGTGGAAAGGCAGCATATAAATGTATGTATGCATTTATATATCTGGATCTGGTTGTTCTCTGAGGCTAGATGCAAAGCAGATAGATCTTTGGACTGACGAGGAATAGCTGTTTCTTAAATGAAACACAGCATGGCATTGCTGTTGGGATCATAGAGGCTGCAAGTCATGTACTGGTGGAAATCCAGAGAGCAAGGAACAGTGGGACTGGAAGTAGGGTAGGGTGAGGCTTTCCCCACAAGTTCATGATTCTAAGCATGGGCGTAGCCAGGCTGCCCCCCCCCCCCGATCCATAAGTATTATTGAAAAGCATTGGAAGTGCTCAATTATCTGAGGTTCTGCCACCCCCACCCCCAGCAGAAGCCTGCTCCCTGCAAAATCCTATTTACAGGGTATTTTTACCCATGACTTCCCAAGAAAAGCTCAACAATTTTAATTTCCTTTAAAAAGCCCAGCAACTTTGCTTTCCTAAAATGAGGTCAACAAGTTTGGCTGCCCCTGCCCCCAAACAAAAATCCTGGCTACGCCCATAATTCTGAGCAAAGAAATATAAAATACAAAGTACAGCAGACTTTAAATACCTGGCTAAATAAAACCCAGGTGTGCAAACCACTTACATTTAACATAAAGAATGAGACTATGGGGCTTAGAGAAACTGGAAACACGGTCATTGTTTTAGCAGAGCTGATAGCAATGCTCTGATAAAAAAAAAAAGTCAAAGCAGTGGGAAATGATTGTGGTGTTTCTGAAACGTAGCAAGAGAAATCCAACACTCTCCTTAACAATCC